GCAACAAAGCGGCGAATCATAGAACCCCCCCCCCCCCCCACCCTCTCCTGCTCTTTCTCGCTCTCTGCTAATTATTGGCCAGCGATCGGATCCAGCATCCTCTGATTGCTTTTGGCTTAAATACACGTGTTTGATGAGCGCGCTTATCGATCCGCGCCGATCGATATCGTGCATCCCTCTGCCGTACAAGGCTTTTATTCAATAACTTTGCGACGGCCGTACGGTTCAACCTAAGCGCTACGTTCGTTCCCTCTTTCTCTTTTTCTCTCCGGTGCGCAAAGATTACACGAGTTACGTTCGTTCGATTTCTCGTACGACACCAAATCGGAAAACTGGGCAAACCATCAAGAATATTGTTATGTTCCATAATCGTGTTACTCAATGGGTTGCACAAGAATGTGGCACTCGTAGCCACGATTCGCACGAATGTTTATCTCGTTTCCAATGTACGGACTTTCTTAATTAATTGTATTATGCAGACTTGTGCAAAAACGCATTTGCGCATAACTTATAAGACTAAACGATTATTTTATTATTGCACGGAATAATGCAAGTTCTCAAAATGCATATCCATAAAAATAAACGTTTACGTCGGAAATATTAAAAAAAAAAATAAACGAGAAACCTTTTACTCGATACCTCCCAGCTGGACGTTAGTTGCTCGAAGCTCTCTCGCGCCGCAGCAGCAGCGTCCTTATCAGACTGCAAGCGCGCTTGGGCATCGACGAACAATAAATAATATCAGCGAGGCTATAACCATAAACATTCAATCGCAAAATTTCACGCAGAATTCCGCCGATCAGCATAATAATTTTAAGTGGCCATTTTTCGATTGCATCTCCCTCTCACTCTCTTTTCGTTTGCCTCGGTAATCCCGCTCGAGATCACGCTCGTTTGCACACACGGGTATTATGCATAATTAAGAGCGTACGCGCGCGAGAGCGAGGGAAAATCGAAACGGAAAAAAGGATAAAAGAAAGAAAAAATTACACTGATCTGGCAACAATGCGCTGTACGCGTCGCTTTAATATAAATCGTCGTGCACGCACGGGGCCATAACACTCGGCGCTATCTCTCGTAGACGAGTTGGCGATCTAGGCATGGCGTGAGCGCAATAAAATTTCTTCCCGACGGCCCATAGCTTATGTATCCTGCCAAAAGCGGCTATTAATTTTTTTATCAGACATCAGCCAACGCCGCCTGAGATACTTTTCAATATCCCATTCCAAGCTATAAACATATTCATGCGCGCAAGACGCTCCGTTACGTATGTGCATAAATACCACGAGGGAGAGAGACGCACAAGACACCGTGTGTTAAGTCGATTTTTGAATTCGCGACGATGCTTGGAAAAATATGGCGTGATATCTCGAAAGCAAAAGAAAGCAATAAGTGAAAGACGAGGGAGAGAGCGCGAGAGATATTATAACGGGTTTGTCGCTTCGCGGACATTTAACTGTCACGATAACTTCGCCGAGCGATTTTTGTTCGCTGTCATTTTATTCTTTGGGAGATCAGTCCAGTATTTTTCAATTGTTTCTTCAAATTTCGCATTTCACTTTCAAGACCAACATATGTTTTCTTTTTATTAAGTTTTCAATTAGACTCACGTAGAAATAAAATATTTTCTTTTTTTAATATTTTTAAATTACACAAGAAATGCAATACACGACATTTCACTTCAGAATCAGGAAGTCCAATGAGCATCTTCAAATTTACTAAAGCCTCATGTGTATGAAATAATCAGCCAACCTTTAGACTGACCTCTTACTTAGCGTCCTACCTGACACCTTATCGTCGTGTACGTGAGATCTCACTTTTCGTCGTTCCGAAAGCCAGCGAGAAGTCAACGAATATCGTATACTCCAGAATATTCGCATCGACCTGCTGCGTCGCTCTTGCATAATCGAGTTCAGCCCCGAAAGCATGAGAAGAAACGCCGCAGCGTAGGCCTGATTGATTTTGCGAACAATGCAAGTAACGAATAAAGACATTATCTGAACGTACCTTTAATCCTTTAATTATACGGTACAAGAAAACCAAGCATTTCTCAGTTTCGAAACATAATTTATACTCAATTTTATTTTTTGCGCGGAGCTTTTGTTGTCTGAACACATTGAAAAATAAACGGCCTGTTATTAATTACTGCTAACTTTCGTTATTATTGCTTTTCTCTTTTTTTTCTCATCGATATTTTGAATGAAGTATTTGCATATTAAGTGCATCGAAAGTTTTGCAAACGATGAAGATGAGAAAAAGTGTTGAAAAGTGTCGATCAGCCGTCAAAACAAAAACGCGAGTGTACAATATAAAAGCACCATGTAGGCAGGAGCGCAAAATCATTGCAGTACCGGCATCATAAATAATTTCAAAATAATCCCGTAATATCCTCGTAAATACTGTTGTAAATAATAAATTCACCTACTCACGAGTATATGGTCGAACAATTGAGCATCGAATTTTTAGCAATTATTAATACATCTCCGCACGAGCAACGGTCGGAACATCTTACATAGGTTCGTGATAATTGCCTGCTCTTATCGGCATTTCAGAGTCTTCTCTGGCGCGTTCCTTTAATAAGGACCCTCATCTGCCGGGTGATTTATATGGACCTATGGCTTACTATTGAATATACTTCGTCTCTTTCTCTCGATAGCCAGTCGATAACAATAACTCGCACGAGCGCGTGCGAAAAGAAATGCGCATTAGCGGTTAACGCGACGTGTGTGGGTGGAGTTTCATCGCGAAGAGATGTTCACTCGAGATTAAAACACAACCTTTTCGGCGCGCTAAAGGGAAAAGAGGATCTATTCTAAGTCGATCGATATACCTACATATTCTCGTACATGCGAGGTTCATAGGATCGTGCGAAACAGCAGCAGATATGCATCTTTATTTGTACTGTTTTTAACGGGGAAAGCTGCCGAGGAGGGTAATTATTATCCGCAAGTGGAGAGAAGGAGAAAAAGGGAATGGTTTTTGCGAGGCACGGTAATGGATTTTGCCGATGCTGCCGATTTACTGGTAGATTGAATAGCCGCTGTACATGTGTAAGTGTGTGTATGTGTGTGCGTGCGTGATGCTCTCTCGTTGATTCCGCATCTTAATAGTTTCCAAGGTGTTATGAGAGTTAGCGCGCGAGCGGCGTTGTGCCTTTTGTTCGCCTTTCGATGGGAGGGAAATCATTTAAGATTTATCGAGTCTGATTTAATTTAAGGTGGGGATTTATTTATCTTCAATTATATATCATTAAAAGGGGATTCCTTACGAGCTTAGTCGCGTACGAGCTATCTTTAGGCGTCAATTGCTCTGACGTTTCATGTGTTTGTGGCTTGAAAGATACTTACGTAAAATACACGCGTAATGGGCTTTGGAAATGAAACCATAATCTAATCATCGAAAAAGACAGATTTTATTACACGATTGCTGTCCACTTGAATAGTTTATCCTAATACCTATGGGAAAAACAAGAAAAAAGTTTGACGAAAACTGTAAAAATAGCAATTGATTAAGGATAACGGTCAAAATTACATCTTTTCCCCTCGCACCGAAGATCACTTAAATTTTACAACTCTATTGCGCGTGATCGTGCAGCGACTCATGCTCATCAGCATAAACCCGCAAAGCGCAGGAAAAAAGGAAAGAATCCCTAAACAAAATAAGCTTGGATATTGCTCGTCACTCGGCATTAGAAAGCCCGTGATTTATAACGTTCTCGCAGCTTTTCCGCGTATATAGAAAACGGTGATACTCTCGGGCGAGCACCTGGCCCCCGCCGTCGAGAGCAATTTACGGAATTATACTCCGCCACGACGCTTGGGCATCTCGATAATAAAGTTATATCTGTCGATGCGGATGGCCAATCAAGTTGAGCGCTGAGGAAATCAAATTCCCCTTTTTACATCGTACAGGCTGAGTATTAATTATGACCCGATAAAGGCCGCGCGTTTCATTAAAAAAAAAGCTGCAGGAGAAAAAAAGCAGAGCAGACCAGGTCCGACCCACTAGAATTACATCGGCTTTGACGAGTATGGAATTTACAAAGATATATGTCCTCCAGTAGCTGCTCTCTTTTCAGAAAATGGATTGTCGACGTGAAATTAACTGCCGATCGGAAAAAATTAATTGATACTCTTATTTATTTTCATCAAGGCATATATTTACGTAGCCACAGCGATGTCGACTAATTTTTCATGATGCGCGAAAATAATTTGAATGTTCATTATCTCTCTGAACATTCGCATCGCTTCCCTTCCTCCTTCCTCTAAACGCTCGCCCATTATACGAGTATGTACCCGATCTAAATTTTGTACGCGCATATGCGCATTCCAACGTCGTTGCATGAATAATCCGCGCCGATGATGACACTCGGTGATTGGTCAGCTAAACTTACGAGTGGGTGGAAGATAGAGAATGTACAGCACGTAATAATTGAGCCTTCGCCTGTGTGTGTGTGTGTGTGTGAGAGAGAGACCTGAATAATTACGTCGTGCATGACGCTCACACAATGGGCTTTTGTTATCCAAGTCAAGCAACTCTCGGGTATATGTATAACGCGATGCGTCAATTCTTTACCGCTCAATTATGTCCGGTTTCTTTGGAAATCATGCGATAAAAGATCGAAATCGAACAGCGAGGACGAAAAACAGCAAAACTTGTAATATGGAATTTCTAATTAATGTAATTTTACGCCGTGAAGCGTGGTTTTACGAGCGGCTCTTGATTTATCTTCCGTTGAATTGAAAGAACTTAATTCAATTGTCAAGTGTTGAATGGTAATGGAATGTTTACGTTCAAAATGATAAATCAATTTTGCGCAATTCGTACTCTATGCAAATCATTGGAGGTAATAAAGGTGAAGGAGTAATGTAGGTATCGTAAAGTAAGAAAAAAAGACAATGATTTTTGTTGAGAATAAATTAATATATATTTATAGTGGATATACGATAGGTACTGTCTTGAATCTCAATTTTATGGCAACTATGAAACCAGCCAATTGATATACATATCAGCTTCATGAATTTTTCTCGTATTGCACGCATTAATCTGCAATTTTTCAAATGAGAGGAATCGTTCGCTATGGCTATGGCATCGTTTAATATTTCTGTGTTTTATTTTTCTTTATTTCTCGTTTGTTCGTCGTTTAAAGCTCCGCTCGTCTCTCGACATTATTTACATTTACACATTTTTTCGTGGAGAACGCACACTGCTATTGCTTCAGAATGTTATCGTCGAACACTGGGTATCCGCGTTAAAACTACAACGTCGATTAAATTATACGCATTCATCTCTCTCTCTCTCTCTCTCTCTCTCTCTCTCTCTCTCTCTCTCTCTCTCTCTCTCTCTCTCTCTCTCTCAGTTCATCTTGACTATTTACAATAAATACACTTGACTCGCGCAAAAAAAAACAATCTAAAACGGGCTACGTATCTACGACTCACGAACGAACGGACAAAATCGATCGACTCGTAGCTCTCCGACACTTTTATTGCACGGTAATTATTACGGTGAGTTACGACGAACGAAAAAAGAAAGCAACTTAGCTATCGATAAGGGAAGATACGGCACTTTTACTTATCTGTCTTTTTGCTTCGCAGCTAGTACTGCTCGTATGGATATGTGGCAAGCGATATGCGCCGTCAAAAAGGATAACCCCCCTCACTTCTCGAAACTTAATATACATCCTTTTGCTCCCTACATAGTTAAAGTTGTTGTCGAAGAAATCGCACTTTGAACTCACTGATCCGAGGATTTGCCAAGCGACCTGCCGCGCTGATTGTAATTTCAGGTATGGCACGAAAATGATGAAACGCACAAGTCGAGCAATCAATGCGTTTGAGATGTTCTACGGTGAAGGAATCATCGAAGCTCAGTCTTGCGGGCAAAAGCATCCCCCTTCCACCAGCTCAGCCAAGACTACGTGAGCGTGGGCGAGGTGGGTAGCGAGCTGGCCGACGACACTGGCGACGCTGCCGGTGACTTGAAGTCCCTTCCCGCGACTATCGACATCGGTATCGCGTCCTTGTTTTCCGCTGCTGCCACCGTGTTGTTGCCCAGCAGACTGTCGATGGAGAACGGATTGAGCCGACGCCTTTCCTCGCGGCCTTTGACCGACAAGTCGATACTGCTACTTTGGACTTCGTCGCCGGCGCTCGACGTTTGACTGCTCGCCCCAAGACTGACCAACTCCCGCCGCCGTTCCAGCAAACTCAAGCCCCAGTGATGGATGCCTTGCTGGTGATTCAGTCGGATACTGGCGCTCGGTTGCCGACGCTCGTAGCCATCGCCGTCGAGCGAGCCGTCGGCTGCCGAGTCGACTCGCTCGCTGCCGCTTTCGCTACACGAATCCAGTCCGCCTACCACGTCAATTTCCTCGTTCGCGTCGATGCCCGATATACTGTTGCTCTCGTTGTTATTATTCAAGCTGCTGGAAAAACTGCCGTTCAACGAGCCACTGCCGCCGGCTGCGTTTCGAGACTCCCATTCGGCTTTCAGCGTCGACAAATCCACTGTGATGCCCTGCGATAAGATAAATACTCGTTATTCGACACTTCAATTGTAAAGGGTCATTGTAAGAATACACGTTTTTCACAGTCACAATTCCAATTGACCAAAATTTACGCCTAATTGAAATGTACAGTTCATAATTGTATTCTTTAATCTGTTTTAAAAAATGATTATGGAATGTAAATTAACTAATCGATTAATCCAGCAGAAATTAATTTCTTTTTCAGAAAGCAAAAAATAAAGAAAAAAAATACGAAGGTTCAGGCCAACGCGGTTATCACATCCACTGACTCGACTCAGGCAAATATTAACTTGTCTACCTCCGAAATTCCTTAGGCGTTCTTATAATTTGTTTTATTATTTTCGCTGCAGAAGATTAATTCGGATGGTTCTTCTCACCTTGGCGGCCAATTTGCGCTGCTGCCTCTCGAGCGCCTTCATGAGCTTCTTCTGCCGCCTTTCGCGTTCTTTCCTACGGAGCTCCTCCGGCGGTATAGGCTCGCCACTGCAACTCTGTGGATGGGCGTTGTGTGCCGGCCGACCAGGGCCCTTCTTCGTGTGCTCCTTCTTGCGCCACTTTGCCCGTCGGTTCTGGAACCACACCTGCAACAAACACAGATGCGATGCTAACTCAAACCCGAATGCACCAGCCGTAAAATATCGAGAATTTTTTTGGTAATTCGCGGCAAATGATCGCAATTAGTGATTGCTCCGCTTTTCTTTACGCGAGGCTCATTCGATTAGTCGCTATTACGTGCAAATTCGAGTGTAATTGCCGATGCGATAAAATAAAAAAATTGGCCCGGCGTGCATCCGCGCAATTCGCGAGTGAAAACGTCTGGTTCGCAGCGAACTTTTGCGGAGCGTTGCATTACACATCCGGAACTTATCGCTGCGTGTTTAATTCCAAAGCCGAGAGTACTCGGGCGCAATGAAAGCGCGTTATTAGTTGTCGAGCAGAACTCTACGGCTACTTCAACGGCAAAAGCTTCGTAAACGTCCAACTCGATTCGCACGTTTGACCGCAAAGTGCCACCCTCGTGATTTCCTTCGAAGGACGGGAGGAAAGAATGGTATATAGCAGCTCGTCGCCTTTAACAAGCCTCGGCTTACGGTGCGCGCGAACCGGCTATTTGCAGCCGACGCCGACGCCGCCGTGCACAAAGGGATAAAGACATTGTGCCAGGGCGGGCGGTAGCTGCTGGCGCGCCGCGCTGCTAACCTCGCGGCACGCGAGCCCAACGAAATCGATATAGCCCAGCCCCACGCTCGCCCCTCGCTTTATGCGCCAATATATACGAACAGCGTCGCGTGTCCCGGGGCTTTTCTTTTTCGCGCCCCGGGCGAAATGTTTTTAAGAGATTTCGCTTGATGCACTCATTTGCCGCCGCTTTCCTTCCTCTCCTGCCGTGTCTTCGGTATACCGAGTTTCTAACTGAATATCTTAATGTACACAGAGCGTACGAAAGTAAATTTGAGAAAGGCCAAATACCTCGGAAAGAGTGCCGCGGACAATATTAGAGACGTGCAATTATTCAAGCGCATGATAAACCTCATCGAGTACATAAAGTTGTATAATTTCTCGCTTGTGATGTACTCGGGTGGTTGATTTTTCTGGCTATCCGCACTCTGTGCCGCTAATGAGAAAACGCCGTGTTTCTAATTAGCCGTCTAATTTCTCGCGACGCGCTCCGCTCCCTCGTTTCGCGCCACCAAAGGGCTTTGATTAACTGCCTCTCGCTGCTCTCTGCGTCTGCACTCGCGTACGTTATATTATATACGGCGAACGGGTTCCATAAGTGTTTCCGCGATAAATCTGCGCGTTTACGAGAGCGGCAGCCCCGCTCGCGCTTGATTTTGGTAAGGCCCGATAGCGACATCGCGCGGAGGAGTTGCTCAGTTGGCGCGTGACGAGTAGACGACGGCCAGCCAATCAGGCGAAAGCGCGAGCGCGCGTGCGTGCGTGCGCGCGTGCTCGAGCGCCCGATAAGCGATTAGCCCTTCGCTTTATCAATTTGCCTGGCCGCGACATCGAGCCACCCATTTATATTGGGTAATAAAAGCATCTTGTCACTTAATTCGACGCACGAAAATCCGCGGTCGGATTTCTCGGCCCGTATTTGACGTTCCACCGCAACAGAAAACTACCAAATAACACGCATATCGGGACACTGCGCTCGTAGTAAGGCAAAAGAAAGAGAAAGCAGCCGACCGAGCCCCATCGCCCAATTCACACCTACGAGCGTGTGCCTCGATTGAGCGACGACGTATGTGTGCGCGCGTTGCTGCCTCTGTCAACCCATGGAAAGAAGGTCGGCTTCATTATCCGTGCATTAAGCTCTTATCTCGAGCTGCCGATCTCGTGTCGCACGAGCGCGTCTAATCTGCGACACGACTCCCGAGAGGCTACCGTGTAGTCGTCGTGCGTCGTCATGCATCTTTATGTTGTATCGGGTCCGTAAGGGTGCGTGAGTCACTTGTCACGCGGCACGAGGCCAGATTTGTACCCACGTATTTCTTTCCTCGGCGATGACGCGTGTCATATTAGGCCACGCTTGATCGAAAGTCCGCAGCGACAGTTCGGGGGAGACGTTTGAAAATTCATGATCCGACGGCGAACGGACGAACGCTGTAAAATCAACGGCAGAACGAACAACGAGACAATGTAGGAGATGTCATTGGGAAATTAAATTACGCGCTCAAAGGTCAGCCCCGATTAAGAGATGAATGCGTCGGAGCATTGTGCTCCTTCTCTCTCGACTGCTCGTTGAAGCGTGTCTAAGGGCATAAATATAAATATGCCCGGCCGCGAAACGTATGCTGCATAGCGAGAGCGAGAGAGCACGGGGACGCGAAGCCGACCAGCCGTGAAATTGAGCGAACGCCGCGCGCTAGCTGCCCCTTCTGTCCACCAGCTCGCCGCGCGATGGGACATATGCGCGCGGCCGTCTGCGCGACGCTCCGCGCTCGAAAATTTTTCCTCGGGCCCGATTTCACTTTACGACGCGGACGTTTGAGCGTCAGGCAGTCCTGGCGCATCGTCGTCCATCGGTGTCACGGTGCCAAAGGCATATACGGAATCGGCGCATTCTTACCGCGACGCGGCTCTCTTTGAGTTCGAGCCTCACAGCCAGGGCCTCGCGCATGAAGACGTCGGGATAATGGCTCGCGAGAAATGCCCGTTCCAGCTCCTCAAGCTGCCAGCTGTTGAAATTCGTGCGGCTGCGCCGCCTCTTACTGCCACCCTCGTCGCTCTCGCCGTCGCAACCTGAAGACAACAAGAGAGAAACACATTGAGCATTTAGCTTTATCTTGCTCGTAGATTCACAGTACAAGCTCATCGAATGTACATTGAATTTCGACCGAACGATGCGCAATTTCATTTGTTTGTTGAATTATCATGCGCGCGAGATCAGGAAGGGGAGACAAAACTGTTTGCGGTGCATCTTATTTTCTATCAAGATGTACGGCTCATCTATCGCCGTGAATTTATACATAGCTATCGTAGATGTTATCGTTTTGATTGACATTTTAATGGGAGTATGTTGTCCTTTCTTTTAAGGAATGAAACCTTGAGAAATTTGCAGACGATTTTTTGGTGCAGTAGAAAAATCACAATACAGAATGCGTAATTTACTTTGCTTGGTAATTTCCCGTAAAGAGTTTATGAAAAAGAAACACTTCGATCGAAATTACTGGAGCGCGGAGAAGGAGAAACATCCACTGCTCGTCTACGTGTGACTCCGAGTCCGCCTTGTCCCCTCCTCCCGCTTTCATAGCATCCTCCTCGACTCGCGAATAGCTGACAACTATATACGCAGGAAGACTGTGCTTATCACGATGGAATTGGAGCGTCCCCTCCGGGCGATCCGGACAAACAGAAAAAGAGGTCCGGCCATGAACTTGTCTGTGCGCACGCGCATGTGTGTGTACGTGCTCCACAGATAAGCCGGATATATTGAATAAACATGGAATTTCATGATTTTATGAGGACAAGCGTCTTTTTCCCTCTCGGTTTTTTTTCCTATCGAGCGGGCGCATCTCTCGATTGTTTCGGCCACCGCCACCGCCTCTGCGGCTCGTATGTATGCTAATGCGCGCGAGCTCCGCGAATATTGAATAACGGAGAGATCGCGCATTACGATTGGGACTTGTTATCTTCAAGGGGTGAGCTATTTCTGTGCGAGACAACTCACTTTTCGCCCACCATTGCCACGAGTGCGTGATTTTATTGCTTCAACTTTTCTGATTTAGTGCTGGCGTTGCTAATCGCTGAGAAATATGTCACTGTGTGCGAGGAGACTTTCGATGACGCGTCGTTGCGATAGAAACAGAAATTTAATGCAGAAAAGGAAAATTGTTATTAAAGGAAGAGGTGTGGTTTTGTAAAAGTCACGCTGTTGCCAAGGGGAAGAGAGTATGAACTATATGTATACGCGCACCTCTGGTCGCATCTGTCTCGCGCGCGCGAGGTTTTTCTCGGTTGGTCGACTCGCATGCGTCCCTGACGGATGTGAAGTTTATGCGCAATGACTTATGCATACGCAGAAGAAACAAAAAATCACTTTCTTGCGCTACGTTGGTGAAGCGTTGAGTACGTGCCTACGCATAGAGCTGAGAAAATTGAAAGAGACTGAGTTAGGAGAAGTCACTATGGTCGAAATAACTTCATTTCATTTATTTAAGCTGTTTCTTTCTCATTAGATAAATCTCTGCCGTGAACTTTTCACGAGTGCGTTTGCATGCTTCGCGCGCGTTAATTTCTCCTCTAATTAATCAGCGCTGAAATGCCATCTTTAAGCAAATACTTTTTCCAACCTCCGTTAAAACTGCAGCGAAATAAGAAAAGGAAAAAATACGCGCAAATTAAAAAAGATACACGCGCAAATTAGCTGACGTGTTGTGCAATCACGTAATTATTAAAGCTCGATGATTCGCAGCCTGGGCTCGTTGAGCGCAAAGAAATCTTAATTTCAAGCTAACGCGTTAGCGAGCTTTCGTAGTCGATCGTCGCGTAATGCGCTCGCATGACATGTAATGATTTCATGTTCCACAGCCGTTTGAGAAGTTTTCGCCTCGGCCGCGTATGCTGCTTTGCATATAAATTGTACAGGCGGCTGCTGTTACTGTTGCCGGTCACACGTCTCCGCTTTCGTTCTCCCGACTATTCTGCCAGCTTAATTATTTTTGCTTGCCCCAGTCTCTCACTTTCTCGCTGTCTGTATCTGCACCCGCGCGACGACAATTAAATTCTAATCAAGAACGCTTCTGTCTCGCATGCACCGCGATTCAAGCCTACGATGATGCTTTCGGATGGTACGTACGAGAATGCGCGATGAAAAATAATCATGCGATCGGAGACGCGTATGTATTTATTATCACAATTAAGCGCGATTTATTACAAAAACTTATACGTTTTAGAAGAGATTTTAATACTATATATACATGCGTCCAAGTGCAAAATCTTTTAAGCGAAGAATGATCAGGTGATAAAGACTTTAAATCTGGGATAATAATGCACCGTGTTTATGGAGTCATTGTGGAGTCCGTCACGTGGACGTGGAAATAAACTTGATTTAACGAGTCCGTTGAGGATAAATCGTCATCTGTTAATTACACATAATCCTTCTTGAGGTCAACAATTTCTCACACACTCTTCATATATTCTTGTACGGCAGTTGCGAATAATCTTTGGTTACTAGTGTGAAGTAATTTATTATCTCAAGCAAACAACAAAATAACGAGGTAACGCATGTTGACGGCAGCAATCTTCTTATCTTATAAATTTTCTCGTAAAGCCTTGGTGAAAAAGGGGGGGGGGGAGGCAAAAAGAGAAAGTGCGGAAAATGATATGTATATGTATGAAGACGGAGCCGAGGCGAAAACAAAAAGAAAACTAGATCTAAGCCGCTTATTATGGGTAATCGATCGAATTCGTAATGAACGCTCAGAGTGCAGCTGCAAGTCAAAGGATTAAATCGAACTGTGTAGGCATTTAACGCCTTCAACACGATGCTATGATCCATTTCGCGAGCGTTATAACCGATACGATCGTACGAGAGAGAAAAAAGTGAAAGTTAATTGGTTAAGCTCTTTATCGCGTTACATTTTACGAAGGTTCGTCATTATTTTTCATTGGTTGCGGCAGCCAGCGACTAACGACGTAAAACGTGTGTCACGCTTAACGCGCTGAATTAATGCCCTTTGCAATCGTCATTTGTCGACAACTCATTTGAATTTCCGACGAGAAAATAAGGTCTTTTTGAGATTTATCGCCGAGGAACTTACGGTCAGCTACAAATTTACACTCGGCGCGCAGCCTGCGTACAATAGAAGAAAGAAAAGCTTATTTACCTCTCTAGCACTCTATGAACTTGTCAAATGTTCCATCATTTCCCATACACAATGTTTATGTCAACGCAGAGTAAAATAAATCCAACGGAATCTAATTTCCAAGTCTCACAGAAGTAAAAGTCCATCAAACGTGACACCGCAAAAGCCACGATAATTAACACATTTCGCTTACACCGCAAGCAAAAAAGGATACAAGAATTCTCGGCAAATAAATTCATCAAGATGCCACGAACGGCGCATCAATCGGCAATGCCAAGGGATGCACGTACAACTCCTTGCGTGCCTCTCGTCGGCGTAAGGCGTTTAATAAAGCCGGCAAGAGAGTGAGAGAGAGAGAGAGAGAGAGAGGAGTATACTACCGAAATAACATGCAATTAAATCGAAATTACAGTGCCCGGTCCCTTTATCTTGCGGGGTCCAGCTCGCGAGTCGATGGAGATACGTACACATAGACGTACACATCGCGTATCAAAGTGACTCCGCAGGCCACGCGAGGCGCAAATGATCGCGCCTCACTTTGTTCCAACGTACACGCGCGTGCACGCATGTACGAAATTGAGGGATGACGCGCGCGAGCGCGCTCAAATTATACAGGCCTCGAACGCAACGTCGACGAATTTCCTTCTGGATTCCCGCGAGCCGGCGTCCTTTTCTTTTTCTCGCTGTCTCGGCCAGTTTTTGAAGAGTGGATTAACTTGACGAATGGCAAAGACGACGCGCGCGGCCCATACGGGAGTGAAATATCTCGAGTTTTATTTGGCCTAAGTGATTCGATTGAAATCGAGTTCGCGAAACGAAGCGATTCTTTTTCCTTGATTTTTTCGGGAAAAACCTTTACGTAAGGAGGCTTCGCGGAGCTCATCCCAGCGTCACCGTATACAGTATCGCTCCATAATTAGGCGCCTACGAAAGCACTGACGGCGCTCTACTTTGAAAGAGAGAGAGAACAAGATATTTGGCAGTAATGAAGCGCTCGCAATCATCTCTGCTCGCAGGTGTCTTAATACCACAGGGCGGCGCGAAGGCTTTTTCTGCGGTAATGATGGATTCGCTGGCTGCTCGGATAACAGAAATTCGCCTTTTCCTTTTTTTTTACTTTTTTTGGTTTATTTTCTTCGGACTTTTACTGCGCCTCTGGCTGTGCAATCGATCTTTGGAGTTCTCTGGTTTTCAGAGGATAATCAGTAGGTTCATAGCAGAGCTTCGCGTATACACAATTGTTTGGTTTTTCGAATCATGCGTCCGTGTCCGTGCCTTTAATTTCAATTCCATCAGGTTTTACGCACTTTTAAGAGAAGACCGCGTCCTGGAAGGTAATCTTAGTAATATCGATTCTACGAATTACGTGAGAGCAATTTTCGAGGAGGTTAATGCATGGTAGCTGAATGCATAATTTTGGTAAATCAGCCGAATTTCAGAAGGAGCGAAGCACTCGGTCGTTCGCCGAGCACGTATCCACGTGAAACTGTGAATTGACTGGAAACTTCGAAGAAGGGCAAAAGACGTCTATTAATTCGCTTAACAAGCTGCGCGATAAAAATCTTTATTTCTCGTCCTCATCACGGCACCGAGAGCAAGTGCGCATACACAGCGAAGAAAGCGAATGAACAAATGGCCTGCAGTTGCGGGAGAAGCCGCTGTGGCGCAGCTCGTTAGGCCCTAATCACAACGGCAAGGCTGCGAGTGCTAATAATTTTACGAGCGGCTTGTACCTCTCTCGCTCTCGCCGGATACGTAATGCGTGCGTATGGTCAGGATAAGTGGCGCGGGACCAATCGTGAGAAACGCATCGCGTCTCACATTGCACACGAGTAACGATAGGCCGCGCGCTCTTTCTTTTTAATCATCGTCGCGGCTCCTGCAGGTGATTAGCGTAACGAGTGCGGCGCCGCGTATCCCACACGCGACCCTCGT